ATGGTTATTGAAAGGTGTATTTCAGGAGGAGCTGACCTTCAACTTGTTCCCATAGGGGAATCTGAGTGGGACACTGGGGCAGAGGTAATCTGTTGTTGTTATTACATTCTAAATCAAAGGGAGGAAGCATATTGTTTCATATAAGAGAGGAATAAAGGGGAATAAATTAAAATAGAAAAGAGACTTTTTCCCTTAATATTTGAAGAAAGACTATTAAATATTTTTCAGAGTGGGAAGAAGCAAGGAAAAATGGATTTGTTAGGGAGGAAGTGGAAGAGCAGATTTCTGTCTCCCCAGGTTGAGTGGTTCTCAGTGTTGTCATCTTCATCCTTACTGTTATCATCGTTGTCGTTATCATCATCATTATCAATCATTGTTAATAGGAACAGCTGTTGTGCTGAGTACCTTCTCATACATTTAGTCCTCTGAGTACTTAAACAGTTCTGCACTCAGGCATTATTCTCATTTTACAGATGAGGACTTCACTCCTCAAGTTGTAAATGGAAGGACTTGGCTGTTAACTAAGGTGCTTTGTGGATAATGGTTTAGAGCTGGTGAAAATGCTAATTTCCTCACAGGGTGAGCCATTAGCTATTCCCCATCAGAAAGCAATTGAGGAACCAGGGGCTGGAAGCTCATATCTGCAACCCTAGCTACTCAGGAGGCTGAGATCTGAGGATTGTGGCCCAAAGCCAGCCCAGGCTGGAAAAACCTGAGACTCTGATCTCCAATTAATTACCCAAAATCTAGAAGTAGATCTGTGGCTCAAGTGGTAGAGTCCTAGCCTTGAGCAAAAAAAAAAGCTAAGAGACAGGGTCTAGTCTCTGAGTTCAAGCCCAGGATTGGTGCATACCCTCCTCCCACATATAAACACAAGAGAGAGAGAGAGAGAGAGAGAGAGAGAGAGAGAGAGAGAGCAGTTGAGAACATTTCTCCCAGGCACTATGAACTTCCATTTGAAAATCCATCATGAAGGAAGAGGTGATCAGACCTCAGTAGTAAAGTCTTTGCAAGATGTTTGAAAGGGCCAGATGATATACTTGTGGAAAAATCAGGAAAAGGGGTCTGTACTGTAAACCAAAGCTAATGACAGATATCAGAACAATTTCTATTTGACAGTTTCAAACTGAAAGGGATTAGTCTGTTTTCTTCCAATCATCAAAAATGCCTCTTATCTTTTTCTCTCCCCTTCCTGTTCTGACATTTCTATCTGATGGCAGTATGCACCTTACAATTATTCTAATATTTTCCCAGCATTTCATATGTCCTGAGAAGTCTGACCTTTAGCATTCCATTCTGTTTTCTGGCCCAAAGGGGCTATCTCTCCCTCTTTTTATTCATTTTCTCTTCCTCTTCTGTTTTCCTCTTCTGCTTTATGAAGCACTCAGGACAGGGCAATTCTATGCATGCTAGGCAAGTGATTTATCTGAGCTACATGCTCCCACCCCTGGGTCACTTCTCTTTCACTGAGCAACAGTTGGGTATAGCTGTGTCCATCTGGGCTTACCTGATCCAGATGAAATCATGTGCTCTGTTCCTGCTCTGTGCTCCAGACTAACGAGAGCCCTCAGCCTATGAAGAAATGAGTCTGCCCAGGTTCCCCTGGTGTCATTCTTTGCCTTTGAGACACTAGACCACATTGTATATATTCCACAGACTTCTGTCTGTGCTGCTTTCCCTAGGGCTCAGGCCTAGGGGTGGGACTGGAGGCACACACCTTACTAGCTTCTCCATTTCTCCATTTTCCTGGTTGAGCTTCAACATGTAGTAAGGGGGTTAGTCAGTTAAACTCTTTGATTTTGTTTTTATATTCATATTATTGAAAATGTAAAATAGGGAATTCAATTGATGAGTGAATGTTTTTTATTTAAATTTAAAAGAAATTAATCTTTTTACCATTCTTTTTTTTTGTTTTTGTTTTTTTTGGGTCCGGTCATGGGGCCTGAACTCTGGGTCTGGGCGCTGTCCCTCAGCTCTTCAGCTCAAGGCTAGCGCTCTACCACTTGAGCCACAGCGCCACTTCTGGCTTTTTTCTTTTTACTTATGTGGTGCTGAGGAATCGAACCCAGGGCTTTGAGCATGCAAGGCGAGCGCTCTACCACTGAGCCACCTTCCCAGCTCCTTTTACCATTCTTAATGTAAAAGGTTCAGAGAATAGACATTAGGATTTTATGTTTTCCTTAAACAGACTTAGTGCATATCTGTGAGCTTACTCTTTCCTTCCTTTCTTTCTTTCTTCCTTCCTTCCTTCCTTCCTTCCTTTCTTTCTTTCTTTCTTTCTTTCCCTCTCTCTCTTTTTCTTTCTTTCGTGTGTCAATATTGGAGCTTGAACTCATAGCCTGGGTACTGTCCCTAAGCTTTTTTACTTAAGGCTGGCACTCTACAACTTGTGCCACAGATCCACTTACAGCTTTTTGGTTAATTGGAGATAAGAGTCTCATGGACTTTCTTGCCTAGGATGGCTTCAAAACAGTGATCCTCACATCTCAGCCTTCTGAGTAGCTAGGATTACAAGTATGAATCACTAGCATGTACCTCAGTTCATGGACTTTTAAATTAAGTCACATGATTAAAGGGTATCACTGTCACAAGATTCGGGGACAAAGATGACAGGATCTCACAGTGGAATGGAGAGTTCTGGTGAGGTAGTGAATCAGCAGGCTGAAGTCTGGTCACCAGCATCTACATATGAACCACAGCCTCTCATAACAGCCTAGGAGCCGCCTCATGAAATGACAGTTCATATGAAATGACAGATTCAGGGCTTGGCCTAGGTTAGTCAGACACGCCTAGGCAGGCTATACCTTCAAATTAGGCCAGACTATTAACACTCAAAAATCTTCAAAACATTCCCCAAACAAGTAACCTGTCCCCCGCCCCTTCTCCCTGTGGGTGAACAGATCATCCTACTTGTTGAAACAAGTTGACCTATGTACTTGAATGATAGGATTATGGAGAATCCCGGGTTCTGTTTTCCTTAGAGGTAAAAAACTGCCTTTATGCAGGCAGATCCAAGCTAGTCCTTAAAATTAAACTTCTGCTTTGGTGCCATCAAGTGGTTAGTTTGGACATGCCTTTTTCAAGAAGAAGATCTTTGTCAAATACATAGTGATTAAAAGCCAGTGGAGATGAAGGCAGAAAGAATGTAGAGGACTTTCAGGGCAGTAAGTACTTTGTAAGACACAACACCACTGGTGGATATATGTCCTTATACATTTAGCCAAACCCACCGAATGTATAGTATTAAGAGTGAATTGTATCATTAAGTGTTAACTCTCAGTTATTAGTGTTACGACAGTATTGGTGCATCAATTGTAACAATCTCATTCCACCATGGTGGGGATGTTAATGATGGAGGTGATTGTGTTCAGGGTGTATGTGGGGAATTTGTGTGTGTGTGTGTGTGTGTGTGTGTGTGTGTGTGTGTGTGCCAGTCCTGGGACTTGAACTCAGGGCTTGGGTACTGTTCTTGAACATTTGTGCTCAAGGCTAGTGCTCCACATATGGCTTTTGGGGTGGTTGATTGGAGATGAGTCTCATGGACTTTTCTGCCCAGGCTGACTACAAACTACCATCATCAAATCTCAACCTACTGAACAACGTGGGGAATTTTTATGCTTTCTGTTCAATTTTGCTATGAACGTAAGACTTCTCTAAAATAGTTGATTCAAAACAATCTTCCAAGCTGGTTGCTGGTGGCTCAATACCTAGCTACTCAAGAAATCTAAGGATTTCAGTTCAAAGACAGTTCTAACAGGAAAATCTGAGAGATTCTTATCTCCAATTAACAAATTAATTTATAAACAATTAATTTGCTGGCTGCCGGTGGCTTACACCTGTAATCCTAGCCACTCAGGAGGATGAGATCTAAGGATCGCCGTTCAAAGCCAGCCTGGGCAGGAAAGTCCGTGAGACTCTTATTTCCAATTAACCACCAGAAAAGCAAAAGTGTGCTGTGGCTCAAGTGGTAGAGTGCTCACCTTGAGCTGAAGAGCTCAGGGACAGTGCCTATGCCCAGGGTTCAAGCCCCACGACTGACAAAAACCAAACCAAACCAATTAATTAAGCATAAGGAAAGGAGTAGCTCTTAGGACTTAGCTTTGCTAACTGGGGGGAATTCCTTCCTTGGAGCTGCTCCAGCCTTTTTCCTTTGGGACCTGCCTTTCTCAGCAGGTCACCTTTGAATTTGTCTAGTACTTCAAAGAGCTATAGCACTGGAGTGTGGAATAAAGCATACAGACTTTGAGATCACAAGGCCTCGTTTTGAAACTCAGCACTATTTCTTGCTGAGTTCAGTTCCTTTGTAAAATGGGATTGATAACAGGCCCATAGTTGGTATGAGGATCAAGTGGAATTTTTTTTTTTTTTGGTCAGTCATGGGGCTTGAACTCAGGGCCTGGGCACTGTTCCTGAGCTTTTTTGCTCAAGTCTAGCACTTTACCACTTTGAGCTAAAGCGCCACTTCCGATTTTCTGGTGCTTAATTATCTATAAGAGTCTTACAGATTTTCCTGCCTAGACTGGCTTTGAGCTGGCGCCTGGCTTAAATGGAATTTTGTACGCTTATAATGCATCAAGCTGAGAGTCCATATTCAAATATCAGTGCTCTGTCCCTCTCATCTGTCAAGGCACAATTCTTTCCCTTCTTTATGACCTGGATCAAGTCCAGCTGCGCTTTCTTTGCTGCTTTCTGGCCACATACCTCTTGTTACTCGGACAATAAAGCCACCCATTTACTTTGTTCTTCTTTTTAACTTCCCATCTCTACTGCCTGCACACGTTCCCTTTCCGTGTGTAGATACAACTCTCTCATGGAGAATCCCATATGAGAGTAATGGGCGGCAAGTTACCTTATTTTATTTAGGTAATTCTCTATGGAAGTGTAACTTGCACCACATCTCTGTAATGGTTGTTTCGTTATGAAAACTAAATTCGCTTTGACAATAGTTTACTGAATTCTTTCTGAATACACATACCTTTTAAAATTCCTTATATTTATAGAAATAGGGCCACGGTCCAAAGCTGGAAAGTCATCAGCAGAAAAAATTGGCAGTGCAAGGGGGACACTTCGTCTGAGATCAGGAGGCCCTGCCACCGTGGAAGAACTGGTATGTTTTCAGGATGATTCTTTATAAATATAAGGGAGAGTTCATTTGATTCTCATTCTGCTTGTCCAGAGGTAGATGTTCATAAGCCCTGGAAAGGAAGGTAAAACCACTCATTCTGATCAAAGCATATACTTGTCATTCATTGCCTACTTAATATCAAGATCAATGAAGACATTTGAGAAGGAAATACAGAAACTAAAGTACACAGGAAAAGACTGTCATCTATAGGAATTTTCTGTTATCTCCAGATGACTTTTTTTTTTTAGCATCTGTACAATTTGAACTGTCTCAAAATTTTAAACAAATGAAAAAAAGCTCTCCAAGAGCCACGGGAAAAAATCTCAGAATTAGATATCCATTAGGCGATTATGATTGATGCTTATATTCATGAAGCCAAACTCCTTAGGTAAAATATCTAGTAGTCATTATTGACTTTTTTTTTTTTGGGTCCAGTCGTGGGCCTGAACTCTGGGCCTGGGTGCTGTCCCTCAGCTCTTCAGCTCAAGGCTAGCACTCTACCACTTGAGCCACAGCGCCACTTCTGGCTTTTTTTTTCTGCTTATGTGGTGCTGAGGATCGAACCCAGGGCCTCATGCATGCAAGGCAAGTGCTCTACCACTGAGCCACCTTCCCAGCCCACTATTGCCTTTTTTTATTCATGCCACACCTGCCACCAGGAGTAAATCCCGGTGCATCCACCTCCACAGTTTACCAGAATCCAACTACGTGGTCTCTGTCTCTGGTTTAGGTATCTTTGTTTACCCTGGATATGGCAATGACCTGTCTCTTGATTTTTACATTTTTCCTCATCCTTCTATGCTTGGCACAGCATCCGGGATTCTCCTTCAGAGGCCCAAGTGGGAGGCATTACTTTTCTATTTCCCACCAGGGGCTTCCTGTGTCACTAAGGATAAAAACTAAGATCCTCAGACTGACCATTGTGACTCAGTTCCACATTTCTCATCTGACTTCATTTCCCACTACTTGCCTCTAGCTCTTCTGTGTCAGCCACCTGGGTCTCCTCAGTGTCCCCACATTCCAAGTGTCTCCCCGCCTCAGGGTCTTGCTATTGCTTTTGGTATTGCTTCTACCACTGTCTGAATTCTTAGCCCCGCTGCCTGCATGGCATATTCCCTTGTCTTTTCCAGGCTTTTGCCCCTGTATTACCTAAAAGACCTTTGTTGGGTAATCCTGAGCAGTTGCTATTGCTCTATCCTCTTCCACTTCCAAATCTTAATGTTCTTCAAGGCACTAAACACGACAGGACTCACCATAGCTTAATCTATTTAATTCCATCCATTGCCTTGCTCTTTTTGCTTGCAAGCCTTGTTCACATCACCATGTTGAATCCTGGTACCTGATGTGTTGAAGCAATTCATTTTTGTTTTTGGCTGAATTATTGAACAAAATAATGTATTTATTTTAGCTTGAGAAAACCAAGGGTTTCACTGACTATGTGTGAAGTTCAGTATTTGAGTAGAAAAATCCTAGAAGGAGAAGGGACAAATGGAGGCAGGAAGGGGGAAAAGCAGCAGTGGTGGAGTGGCAAAAGCAGGCAGAGAGTCTGGGAAGACAGTGGTGTGGAGGAAGTCATTTCCTCCTTAGGGAGGGTTAGGCAGACATCGGAGGCTAGGAGCTCCTTCGGGCAGAGCTCAGGCACAAGGGCCCTTCTAGTTTCTCTGTTTATCTACTGCATTTGGGATACCCATGTGTTTGAACAGGAGACAATGCATCTGGTGACCAGTTAAGAGGCTATTTACAGAGTGTTATCTCAGAGCTTGTGGAATGAGTTTCCAGGGCTCATTGCAGGCTGGTTTATTAGAGCAGACACTCAGGGAACCATGAGGCCATGGTTGTCCTTGGGAATATTTCAATCACCCCAAATGTTGGGTGTTATGGGGAATCCAGAGAAGATTTTGAGTCAGGTACCTTGGACCCAGAGTAATAAAATTTGGAGGCAAATGGACATTGAGATGTAGTAGAGCTACACACATTTTGAAAATGAGCTATGTTGTGGCATGGGGAAAACCACAGGGCAGCCATGTCTGGTTGGTGGGAACTTCACTCCTTCCACTACTACCTGGCACATTGCTGAAGGCCATTACCATTTCTTCAATGAACGAAAAAGCCCCAGGGGGAGAAAGGCGTGAATTAGGGAATGGAACAGTGGACAAGAGCCTGCATTGGGGAAAGGGGGTGGGAGAAAGCTAGCCCTGCTGTCTGCTGCAGGTGATAGGGGAAATTAAGCAGACTTCAAACAGTTTGCAGCTTGGTGCTGGTGGCTCACACTTGTTATCCTAGTGACTTGGGAGTCTGATATCTGAGGGTCGTGGTTCAAAGTCAGCCCAGCAGGAAAATCCATGAGAATCTGATCTCCAATTAACCAGCAAAAAAGCCAGAAATGGAGTGGTGGTACAAATGATAGAGTGCTTTGGATGAAAAAGCTAAGTGAGTGCTCAGGCCCTGAGTTCAAGTCCTAGCCCTGGCACATAAACCAAGCAAACAAAGAAAACAATAAAAGACTACGTGGGTGCACACACATACATACAATCCTCACCTCAACCTCCCGCCCCTGAATCTAAAACAAAACCAGTTTGCCTAGGAACATTGTCAGCAGGTTAATGACCAGGTCCCTTCAGGAGGAGCATCTTCTGAAAGTTGACATAGTTCATGTTTGTTAGCTCCTGCTATGGATGAGATGTTGGGATGGAAAAGGGCAGCGTAAGATCTTTGGGATAGTGTAAGAGTTACTCAAAGAGAAACAGAAAAAAGAAAATCCGTCCCTATTTGCATAGCCTGTTTAATTAAGTAGGTCAATTAAAATTAGCTCATAATTGAAGGGAAAGAAGCTAATTTGGTGCAAATATTAAGTTTGATACCAGCGATGTAACAATCTAGTTTCAAATATAGAAAGCTTTAAAGGATTTATAGGATTGGAAACAAATTATCTCTTATAATCTGACGCAAACTCAGGAAACTGAAAGATATTCCACTTGCATACTGTGTACTTTGTATTACTGCAAAGCCATGTAGTCCAGGTGCTGGTGATACAAAGATGAATAAAAACCTGAACAAAATGAATACCAACCAGGAAGCTGGAACATGTGTTATTGGGAACAGGGAAGATCGGGTCCAGGAGGAAGATAAATGGTGAGGGGAAGGGTAAGCAAATACTCAGTGTACATATGTGAATATAAAGCCAGGTAATGAGGGGATGAGTGGGGTTGGGAGGGATAGGGGACACTGATGCCACATTCATGTCATAAATCGACATACAGAATTGAAATCTCTTTGTGTAACTACTTAAAGATTAAAAAAAAAAAAGACCTGAAGTTAGGTAGTGGTGGCTCACGCCTGTAATCCTAGCTACTCAGAAGATTGAGATCTGAGGATTGCAGTTTGAAACCAGCCTGGGCAGAAAAGTCCCCATGAGACTCTCACCTCCAATAAACTACTCAAAAAAGCCAGAAGTGGCATGGTGGCTCAAGTAGTAGAGTGCTAGCCTTGAGCACAAAGAGGCTCAGAGACAGTATCCAGGCCCAGAGTTCAAGCCCCAGAACTGGCAAAAAAAAAAAGAAAAAAAAGAGAGGCATGAACAGAGGCCATTATGAGCCAATGGAATAAGGTTAATAGAATGAAGCACAAGATACAGAGTGCCATGGAGAGGAAGCTGATCCACAGCTGTCAGGGATCAGTGAGAGCTCCCTCTAGAAGAAGAGACTGAGTTCAGGATGATGAGGAAGAATGCTGTAGACATGAGACTTTGATGGGTAGGGGAGGCTTGGAGGCTGGCCATGAGACTGGATCAGAGGCCTGGAAATACCTAGTCAGAGGGTGATGGGGCTGATGGGAGAGTCTGGCGTTAGCACAGAAAAGGCCCTGTGGACAACTGGGGAACCACTGACAAACTGTGAGGGAAGCAGCTGGTCAGTTTTATGTTTTAGAAAAATCTTTGACCAAGCTAGATTTTGAGAGAGTTTTGGAAACTTCTGCACATAACCCAAGGTGAAGACTGGACCCAGGCCAACCGTGGATAGAGAAAAGTTGATACAGCCAGAGCTCTACAGAAGGCACAGGGTAAAATGGCTGTCACAACTTCCAATATGGCTGGCTGGATACTAAAGTTAACACCTAAGCTGCTTGGAATGGCCTGTTGCCTTTTATAGAAGAATTCAGGAAGTGGCGCTGTGGCTCAAGTGGTAGAGTGCTAGCCTTGAGCTGAAGAGCTGAAGAGCTGAGGCCCAGGCCCAGAGTTCAAGCCCCACTACCAACGAAGAAGAAGAAGAAGAGGAAGAGGAAGAAGAGGAAAAGGAAGAGGAAGAAGAAGAAGAAGAATTCATCATACACTGTAACTGTAGGAAAGAGTGCTATGTTGTATCTGTTTTTTAAGGCTTAGTTCTTGTAAATACAAAAGTAAAGAGACTGTTGATATAGCTCTCTGATAGGAGTCTTGCCTAATATATACTCTGTTACCATAGTAATACGTGTGTGGTTTATACAAATACATAGAATAAAATTAAATGAGCCAGGTACTGGCAGCTCACACTCGTAATCCTAGCCACTCAGGAGGCTGATATCTGAGGATGGCAAAGCCAGCCCAGGCAGGAAACTTCAAGAGACTCTCCTCCAGTTAACTACTGAAAAAGCTGAAGTGGAGGCTGTGACTCAAGTGGTAGAGCCACCCCCCACCCCATGTAAATGAAATTTATTCAGGATGGGTGTTTGTATGTACTTTACTATGGAGAGTCAGCAAGACTTTGGAGATTCTTACCTGCACAATAAAGACCAAAATCCATCTAGTGCCTCTCGTGGGCGCTTCCATCTATTTATGCCACATGAATCATTTATCAGACCCTTAAATAGACTGACCTCACTGTAGATTTTCCTATCTGTTATCTTCAACTTGAAGTGCCTCCTGCTTTTATCTGATACCCAATTGTCTTAGAAAATACAATTAATTCTGAAGTGATTTATTCTGAAGACTTTCCCAACTGTTTAGAAATATAGAATTTGTGCTTCTTTACATTCAAAACTGTCATGTCATTTTTGTTTACATTTCTCCATCTGGATAGTTAGCTACCTGAAACTATGTCCCTGATTTTTCTTTTTTGAATTCCTAACATTGAATGCTGACACTAAAAAGAAGTGTTTACTGTATTGTTTCATATTTTGTTACAAAAATATTCTAGATACATTTTCACTAAAATTTGCTTATGTATGTGAACTGGCTCCACATTAAAATTTTAAACTTTGTGTGGCAATCAAGAGATTTCATTATGAAATATGACATTGTATTTATTTCTTTTTCATTAAAGCCCTCTGAAACCAAAGCAAAGGCCATTGAAAAGGTTGATGATCTTCTTGAATTGTACATGGGAATTCGAGATTTTGATTTAGGTAAGTTTATCCTATTTTAAAAAGCCTTTTTATGTTGATAGAAATTATGCTATATCATATCTTGTGTAGCCAATTAACTTTTCAAGATTATGAGTACTTGTGGAATAATAAAAAGAATAATGAACATGAAGATTACTAAGGATTACAAGTGCATGTCTGTAATCTTATTTACTTGAGAGGTTAACAATGAGAAGATTGTTTTTTGAGGCCAGCCAAGGCAGAAAAGTTTGCAAGATTCATTCACAACTCACAGCTTGGTAAGGTGGCACTCATCTGTCATCCTGGCTTCATAGGAGCCTGAGATCAGAAGATCATCATTCCAAGCCAGTTTTCTACAGAAAAGTGTTGGAGATGCCATCTTAATGGGAAATAAGCTGGGAGCAGTGACCAGTCTTGCCATCCAGCTATGACAGGAAGCCTAACATAGATAACCTGGAGAGGTATCAAGACTCTATTTAAACAATAACCAGTGTAAAACAGGGCTGGAGGAATGACATAATGGTGAAGCTCCCTCCTAGCAAATAGGAAGCCCTGACTTCAGAATCTCAGTACTGAAGAAACAAAAGAGATAGTCTAAGAATAATGAAAAGATCTGGGCCTCACTAGTTGTGAGGCATTAGTGATAACTCTTAAAAGTTTTAGTTAGTTCTTGGTCTGGGAAGGTGGCTCAGTGGTAGAGTGCTTGCCTTGCATGCATGCATGAGACCCTGGGTTCGATTCCTCAGCACCACATAAACAAAAAGAAAAAAGCCGGAAGTGGCACTGTGGCTCAAGTGTAGAGCGCTAGCCTTGAGCTGAAGAGCTGAGGGACAGCGCCCAGGCCCAGAGTTCAGGCCCCACGACCGGACCCCCCCCGCCCCCCAAAAAAGTTTTAGTTAGTTCTTAATCTACACACTGTAAACAATCTCATGATCCTTTGCCTCCCAAATACTGGAAAATACAGGAGTGCATCACCATGCTTAGCTTGAGAATCAGTTTTCAAATATGTGAATTTAGAATAATCTTCAACTTTAGAGCCTGACAGTTACTTAAATATAAATAGAAGATAATGAAACATTTTTTCTTTTTTATTATTAAACATGCAGATATATAGGTTAAAGTGTTGGATAGTAGTGCTGATAATTATACATGATTTTAAGAAATAGTTCCTTTAAAATGAATTTTCTTTTACTCTTAGAAATGCAGGTCACGGGCTGGGAAGGTGGCTCAGTGGTAGAGTGCTTGTCTTGCATGCCTGAGGCCCTGGGTTCGATTCCTCAGCACCACATAAGCAAAAAAGAAAAAAGCTGGAAGTGGTGCTGTGGCTCAAGTGGTAGAGTGCTAGGCTTGAGCTGAAGAGCTGAGGGACAGTGCCCAGGCCCAGAGTTCAGGCCCCATGACCGGACCCCCCCACCCAAAAAAAATGCAGGTCACTAAACCTCCTCAAAAATCTTTGTAAATTAATTAGTAATCTTTCATGAGGTTAATTAATCATCTGTAGCAAATTCCCTCAAAAGTATTATAAAACCTTTTAAAGCTCTTTTAAAAAGCCAATGATATTGATGTCAATAGTGATGTAATGTAATACTCTCTTTTTTCAATTCCTTGATTGCAAAACAAACAAACCTGACAACAATAAAAGTCATCCATTGATGATAAGGCCAATGAAGTCTGGAATAGATTTTTGTTAAGAATTATCCACTAGGGGGGGATGGGAAGGTGGTTCAGTGGTAGAGCGCTTGCCTTGCATGCCTGAGGCCCTGGGTTCGATCCTCAGCACCACATAAGCAGAAAAAAAAAGCCAGAAGTGGCGCTGTGGCTCAAGTGGTAGAGTGCTAGCCTTGAGCTGAAGAGCTGAGGGACAGCGCCCAGGCCCAGAGTTCAGGCCCCACGACTGGACCCCCCCCAAAAAAAAAGAAGTATCCCCCAGGGCTGGGGATGTAGTTCAGTGGTGGAGCATCTGACTAGCATTTGCAAGGCCTGCCTTCAGCCCCTAAGACCATAAAAGAACCCCATCCCCATATCTTGCATTGGCTGAGCTTAAGCTGTTCAACTGATATGAGTTACAAACAAATCTTAGGGAATGCAAATATTGAGGACATTTTTTTTTTTTTTTTGGTCCAGTCGTGGGGCTTGAACTCTGGGCCTGGGCGCTGTCCCTCAGCTCCTCAGCTCAAGCCTAGCACTCTACCACTTGAGCCACAGCGCCACTTCT